CGTTGAATGCTCAATGACTTTAGCATGTGTGCGTTGAACTTTTCAGCACAACACCTTGTTGACAAAGAGTCATGTTATCATGCAGTGCCTAAGCGAGCAGAATTATCCTACAGAAGATTCCCTAGCTCACGAAATTTCGACGGAAATTCCGAAATGTGATTTTGATTCCAATAAATTGTTAAAGCAGGACTTGAATTGAGAAGAAGATTCGATCGCTGTGGCAACATATTTATTCGCCTGACGTTTCGACATCCATCGCGGATCCTTCATCAGAGAGGCGAATTTTCCGCTGATCTCGTTGATGAAGAATACGTATCGGATGTCGAAACGTCAGGCGAATAAAAGTGGTGTTTCAGCGATCAAATCTTCATCTTCTAAATTACTACCTGAGATTTGGATGCTCGTTTGTTTTATGATTTGAATGTTGATTATTTTGCGAAATGAAGCCAATTCTCAAGTTCCGGCTCATTCGGTGAGAGCCGGCCACACATTGAAATTTGATGAAGTCGAACTTCTCGCAAGGGGCGACAGTGCTGTGAGCCGAGAATTACTTGAGCCATGGGTCACGGGCCCCAAATCTATAAACAACTGCAACGATTTGCCCAATCCATATTCGGTGCTGAGGCTCAATTTGACCAAAGCACGTGGCCACTTGGGGGAGGTACAGACCACCGCGTCGTCTTACGCCAACGTTATAACAGATAGCTGAGCAATTATCATGTCCACTTCCATCACATGTGATGCAAGTTTAGCAGGTCACGGCCCACATGCTGGTCATCGAGCAATCCACGCACAAGAGGGCAATTAGCGTTAATTGTCGTTATTTGGCATACATGTGTAGTGATGACTGTGTCCTGTAAATACTGCAAAGTCCTGTGCATGTATCACCATTTTCTGTATAATTTTCTGCTCATTTCACTAATGAAGAATCCGCGACGGATGTCGAACCGTCAGGCGAATAACCGTGTTGTCCCAGCTATCGAATCTTCTTCTTCTGCTCAATTACTTCCTGGGACTCGCATTGTTATTTCGGGCTGAACAAGTTTGGAATTCTCCACATCTGTTATCCAACAAAACTCCCGTCCGACCTGCAAAATGATTGTTTACCTCTTTCGAAGGCTGCCCCCTTCCCCCCTGAAATGCTGGCCGCCCATGACAGACTGACTGCACATAACTGAATACCCCCCCTTGGCCCCTTTTTTCGATTTTCACATTTCACATTGTCACCTTTCCCATGGGGATCACCGCGAAGTGACATGACAGCTGTCCGTTCCCCCTTCTTGACCCAGTTGCCGCGGCTTACCCGAGAACCAATCGTCTAAGACCCCCCGTCGCTGACGCTTTCATATGGCCTCTGTTCATGACCCCCCATTCGTACCAATCCTGATGCTACGTGAATAATATACAAGCGGAGCCACCCCTCTCTCCCAATAACACACACAAGGTTTCTCAAGGCTATTTTCGTCCTGCGTGTCGTTATGCTTGAACTTGTGTCGTTCGCTCCTATAGACTCTATAGAATTTAAAGCCAACCCTAACACCAATCTTCGAGGCCCGGTTCCTTAGAAGATGGGAGAAGTCTTGGGAAGGCCA